AATCAGAAATCTACATTGGGCCTGTCCATACTTCTCCCAATCTCCAATACCCTATAAGGGGTATAAGGGGTGTTCCATTGGATAGACATTCATAAAACTGACCCCTTGCAACAATAAAAAAAAAAGAAAAAAAACTAAAAAATTATTAAGCTTCAAAACACCCGAACGCCTATTTGTACATATTGGGCTAATGTATCCATACTCAAAACTTTGAATACTTTAGGGTATTTCATTAATCATGTTAGTAGTTGACATTTGGGTATTGAGACTAAAGAGGTGTTTGGTATAATGACATTGTGCTGCTGTTGTATTTTGGATTGATCGATACAAATTTGTATGTTTTATTACATTTACATGATTGTCATTTCAATTAAAAAATGCACAAGTCAGAAATACATCAAATTTGACATTTTAGATAAAAATAAAAATTTGTATAAATCAATTCAAAACATCTTCAACACATTTGTGGTAAAAAATCACACAAATTTATATTGATAAACTCAAAATAGAATAGCAACAAAACACCATTATACCAAGCGCCCCTAAATCAGTGCTAAAGCAACATATGATCATATAAGATGTGATTAGAAATAGAGTACTCTTATAAGCTTATTAAAACTCCCAACCATATCAATTTAAGGGTGACCGTTACTGTCAATAGTAGGAATTAGGTGATTTCATTTGTTTTAAATCTTGATGACTATATCACATGCATGGCCATAAACAAATTAGGGTTTTATTCATCATTGGTTAAAAAAATGATTCAAAATGTAAGATGTTAGGTGATATAGAAAGAGTTGAAAAATATATCATGATAATCTAAAGTTAAATTAATTAGATGACCATGTGGCCCGATCGTACTATATGTACATAGAGATTGGTCAGCCCTTGAAATAGATCCCATGTGAGAAGTTAGAACATCCAGAAGGTTGACTAACAACAGTATTCTATTATTAGTGGTTTTTTTTTTTTTCTTAACCTATATTCTTGTTATTTAAATAAGCTTTTAGATGAGTATATGCTTGGATATCTTAGAGAGGTTAGTTAAGAGTTAATGGTACTTATCAGAAAAAAAAAATGAAAGTTGGTGTTAAAGGGAGTAGATAGAGTGAGATCACCAAGTATATATGCAATTAATTAGAGCCATAGTTTAGTAGTAGGCTAGTAGCTCCAGATTGGAATTAGTAAACTGTTGCAAAATCTTCTGTCTTGCATTTCCATGTATTCAAGTCTCATAGCCAGACTAGGAGGCATACTCTAAAACCGCAATGTTGGGATCCATTGAACTTTGGATAAGGTCTGCCTGGACCCAGGTCTAGATACCTTGGTCCTAGGATGACCTCACTAGATTTAATCTGGGGATCTGTTTCTTGCCAATTATGTGTACAAAGTTCTATTCAATCAATCATGATATAGAACACTGATATATTGATTATATAGCATTTTAGAAATTATATAGAACACTCACAATAATAAAATTATATTATTTTTGTCTTGAAGAACAAAACCAGTCATGCTGTCAATACCCCTTTAAATTGCCTAAAACTAAAGTTTTTCTTGGACTTGGATTGGACGTAAACCAGCCCAAATTGAGAATAGGCTTTTGAGTCCTATGCTTTGCAACTCTACATTCACATTGCCACTTCTTTCTTTTTTCCATGATTTTCTTTTTCTTCCAATGAAAATTGTTTTGAAATTTTTATTTTGAATGCATCAATAACTTCTTAATGAAATAATAGAAGCTTTGATGCTTTTTAATAAAAAAAAAAAAGAAAAATAATACAAACTTTGACCTGTCCCTTTCTTTTCGGTTAATTAATTTGTTTGGAAAACTGTTTTCAACTAGTATTCTTTTTCCTCTGAAAAAATTAGTTTTCTCAAGGGAGAATGATCAATTAGATCAGGGCTAAAATTTATAGGCTCAAAGTACTGTCGGGATAGATGTCAGCTCAAAATTAATATCAATTCACGGGCGGACATTGAATGTTTATAGCTTGGAGTAGAAATCAGAAATCTGTATTGAACAAATCCGTACTTCACCATTTTCTCAACCGTTAGGAATATAGAATGAGAGAGAGAGAGAAAATAATAAGTAAATTCCAATATGTACTTGCTAATTATTGGGAAGATGGATCAGATTCCACGCAAAGCCTACCACCAACTCCATATGCTACTAAAACCTATGAAACACTGGATCACATGTACACTTCATTAGTTAAATTCCAAAGACGTTATTCAGTCATATATCCCATCACCCATGATACTTGACTTAGTAAGTTTCCCTTAACCATGAATAATAATAATAGGACCCAATTCAATAAGGTACCAAATCTTCCAACTAACTATAGACCATTCTTCTCTTTACTTGCAGTATCCCACTTGTCTACATTAATTCAATGTGCAGAGAGAGAGAGAGAGCATGCTGATGATGATGATTGGGTCTAGCCATATTATATTATATTGGTAAATTGTAAATAAAAGATAATGTTATACATTCTTCTCCGCGCAGTGTTTTTAATTAAAACCCTAGCTTTTTGGTTTAATGGGATTTATTTAATTTGAATTTTTGATAAGATGAGCTGATTATATTCTACCACTGTGTTTAATTATTATCCCAAAAGCATTCGATTTTGTAGTCTTCAGCTTCAAGATTTTCAAACAGCGGAAATCATTCCGATTGGACAATACAATCAACTGTAAATGGTTTTTCTTCTGGGAGGAGGAGAAGAAAAGAAAGTGAGAAAAGAGACCCATTCATAAATGGAAAATGGTCTGTCTGTGGTGAACTCAGTAGTCCCCACCCTTTGATCCCCTGTAATCTGTAATACCAATAAACATGGGTACCCAAACAGGCTTCTGATTCACAGCCAAAGACCTCTCTCCATTTTGGTTGATAAACTTTTCTCTAAAATGTGACCCCCTTAATCACTTAATCAAAAAAGGAAAAAAAACAAAAAACAAAAACATTTTATGAGCATCTAAACAGGTTGTTAGCTAATAATGCTTTTTTGTTTTGTTATAGGTTATAATTTATATAGAAACTTTGACTATTGATAAAATTATTAAGTTCTTATTCTCCCATGCATTAAATGACACATGGGGTTTGAAAACCAAACAATTTAAGTTGTTTATTTTCCTTTTGTTGTTTTTGGATAGTCCACATAATTCTATGCTCATAATAGATTTCGTTTGCTCACATTCTTCTCTATCACATTTATTAGAACTCATCTTCCTCCAAAAATTCTTTGTGCTTCACATGCCAAGTTTTTTCCGGTGAATATTGCTCTGATCTCAGTCTTTTCCAATCTGATACTTCAAACTTCAAAGGCCTTAACATGATCTCAGTCTTTCCGGGTTAATTCTTGCTCCAGGCTCAATAAAACATACAACAACTAGGGGTACAACTTGGACGGGTTGAAACGCAATCCTGGTGCAAACCTCGGGCTCGGGCCTAGTCCAATCCGAGCTCAAGTTTATCAATCTAGGTCTAATTCAAGTTTACCCTAATACAATTCAGGTTGGTTTCAGGCTTGGGTTCGGGTTGGGTCAGGACAAAGTTATTTGGATTTGGAGAGGTTGGTCTGGTTTGAAAGATTCTAATATATATATATATATATATATATATATATATATATATATATATTTACATAGTTATCTTTTATTGGGATTTAGGGATCAATTTAATAATAGAAATGATTGAAAATATATATAAATTTAGGTTAGACCCAAGTTTTTTAATCCAGGCCCAACCAACACCCAATCCAGCCCAAGTTTAGGCTATTCGAGACCTCAACCCAAACCCAACCCGAATTTAGGTTAAATGCAAGTTTTCTAACATAGGCCCAGCCCATATCTCGAAAACATAGGCCCAACTCGAACCCCTAACTAGGGGTGTCAATTGGACTAGATTTGGTGCAATTCGATCCACTCCAATGTGAGTCCATTATAAATGGATCAGCTCTAATCCAATCCAATAAATGTTTTGGACCAATTCCGGCCGGTCCAATTCAATGTCTAGACTGCCCAATCTATTCAAATTCACTTTGATTTAGATTGGTTTCAACCCAAACCCGGTCCATTGATATATATATATTCTTATCTTATATCAATGGACCAGATATTGGCTTAAAATCCAACCCAATCCAATATTTATTATGGACAGACCATGTCAAATCCAATCTAATAAATATTTTGGACCGGATTGGTCCAATCCGATATCTTATTGATCCGTCCAATCCATCCAAATTGATTTTGGACTGAATGGGGTCCAATCCAAAACCGGTCCATTGACACGTTTACCCCCTAACAACAACCCAATGTTGGACTTGGGAGTGCTCATAGCCCATATGTTATATATACCGGGTAGCAGGTAAGCGGATGCTCGGAGTCGGATATTTCATAATCGGGTCGGGTACCACTTTCCACCTAGCAATTCCTTTATAGGCTTTAGCCCTTCTTTGTATAGATCAATAAAATAGTACGGTATAAGCTGTGGACTCGTGTCCACGTTGGAATGGCTATGATCACGGCTTAGATATCGCCTTATTCCTCTCCCATTGCGTCATGAGGCAGACTCACAGTTAATAGTAGTACATCTAATGTCCTCCTCTTTCCTCCTTTATTGCTTGGCCTGCCTTCCTTTCTTCCCACCGTACCACTCTCCGATCTGCTACACTGAAACTATGGTCCATCATACTACCTCTCCTTCAGCATAACTTTAATTTCAATTTTCAATGGATGTGCCGTACGATCTAATTAACCATAGTCACACGGCCATTTGATCATCTTTTATGGGCTAGAGTTATGATCTATCATATATCATCTGACAGCATGAATTTTTAATATGATTATTTAAAGCTGTTGGTGCAACGAACACAAAGTCCAAGCCCACGGCCCACTCACTAACCACACTATATAAATACCTCTTAACCGTCATAACTTCTCCCACAGGCCACAACCTTCCAACCAATCTTCTCTCTCTCTCTCTCTCTCTCTCTAGAATGGCCAAGCAATTAGCTTGCATTCTCTCTCTCCTCTTCATGTTCTTCTCTTCATCGAAAGCAGTCTACAATGTAGTCAGCTTGGGGGCCAAGACGGACGGCAAGACCGACGCCACACAAGCATTCCTCAAGGCATGGAGCTTGGCATGCAGCTCGGCCAGGGCCGATACAATCTACGTCCCTCCCGGCAGATACTTGATGAAGCCAGCTGAGTTTAGAGGTCCATGTAAGAACAGAGTCAATGTTAAGATCGATGGAACCCTGGTCGCCCCTTCCGATTATCGCGTCATCGCCAATTCAAACAGTTGGCTCCTGTTCATTCAGGTCAATGGATTGTCGGTCACCGGAGGCACAATTGACGCTCAGGGGGCCGGCTTGTGGGCTTGCAAGACCGCCGGCAAGAGCTGCCCGTCTGGAGCAAGGGTGGGTTTTCTTTTGCTGGCCCCTCAACATCCTTTTATATATGGATCCAATCCAATTTACCTCAACTGAAACTAAGCGACTCTGTTTATGTCTCTTACTCTAATTAACATACACCAGTGATGTTTGTTACTTTGTTCATACAGTCGATAACGTTCAACTACGCCAATAATGTGGTGATCAGCGGCTTGACATCGTACAACAGCCAGATATCTCACATCGTGATAAACAACTGCAACAATGTAATGGTCCAAGGGGTGAAGATCGTTGCACCTGATCAGAGTCCCAACACCGACGGCATACACGTACAGTTCTCGACAGGAGTTACAATCACAAGTTCTAGCATTAAAACCGGAGATGATTGTGTCTCCATCGGTCCGGGCACTAAAAACCTTTGGATTCAGCGTGTTGCCTGCGGACCTGGACACGGCATCAGGTAATCTATAGATGGTCTGGAACTCTGGATTGTTCGATTAAGAGAAAGAAATTAAATTGATGCGGTACTTCTTGGGTCCACAGATTAATTCTTTTTCATTCTACTTCTTGCAGCATCGGTAGCCTGGGTAAGGATCTGAATGAACAAGGTGTGCAGAATGTGACTGTAAAGGATTCTACATTCACCGGAACCGATAACGGAGTACGGATTAAGTCGTGGGCGAAACCAAGTAATGGGTTCGTGAGGGGCGTCCTTTATCAGAATCTGATCATGAACAATGCTAAGAATCCGATCATAATAGACCAGATATACTGCCCTGACAATAACTGCCCAAATAAGGTACAGAATTCTGGCGTGAAGATCAGCCAGGTGACGTACCAGAACATCCGGGGAACATCGGCGACACAGGTTGCTGTGAATTTTGTTTGCAGTTCAAGTAACCCATGCACAGGAATCAGATTACAGGATGTAAAGCTTACCTATCGGAATGGAGCAGCTCTATCATCTTGTGCAAACGCCAGTGGTACCGCAGGCGGAGTAACAGTGCCGGGGAGCTGTTTATAGAGATGTTTCTTCTCCCTCTTTTAAGGCCTGTTGTAATATATTATGTCTCCGGCCATGTGGATGGATTCTGATATTGCCTCAATCCAGTAAAACCCAGAGGGAAGGCAAGCTACCAACCCGGGTTTCTTCTTCTTTTGTTTCTTCATTAACTGACTCTGGTGTATTGGCCGAGTCAAACTCAAAAAACTCACTCAACTATTTGCTTGGTTCAGCTGTTTCTATATGAGAATTGAAGTAATGATATAATTATATATGCTGCAAAAACAAGGCAAGTTTGAAACGTAGACATTCATCACAAGACAACTCTTGGAATAAAACATCGAATTATGTTGCAATAGCAAGGCAAAAGTCCTATAATTTGAAGCGTATACATTCATCACAAGACAACTCTTGTAATAAAACATCAAATTGAACAATGAACGTTGTTAACTCGGACTAATGCCGTCAATGGGTCTGCTCTGATCCGGGTCAGAGTAGACCTATCACGACCTGATAAATAAATGTACATAACTAGTTGGAACCATTCTTCAAAGTATTGTAATGAGGATGCAACTGGGTTGGGTTGGGTTGTGATGGTGCGCGATTTGGTAGTTTCTTGGACAGCTCACATGTCAGACTCCTGAGGTTGCCTGATCGGCATGCAAGAGAGTGGTAATTAGAGTGTTTAAGAAAGCAAGAGAGTTAGTATGCTTGAGAGCTAAATCGCACCGCTCTTTTCTAAGGAAGAGGATGTTTTTATATAGGCTAACTGTCGTGAGCTCCAAGAAACGTATTCGCGATCTCTAGCCCATATGATATGGAGCTGGTTCCATGCTTGGAGATAGACTCCACGTAAGCTGATGATGCTTATTTGGTCTCGTTCGAGGCGGGTGGGGTCGAGATCAGCCCCATCGATGTGTCATTGTGATCCCAAGGGAATCAGAGACAATTACCTACATGAGAAGGAATTTGCCCGTCAAGTCGGGTAGGTCACTAATTGAATACGGGCTAGGTTGGTGAAGGCATGTTGCCTCTTTACACCGACCTGACATCTCCTGAGTTGTCCATAGGTCGTTCTTCTGAGGTGGGGCCGAGGAGATTGAGGTAGATACCAAGTGTCCAAGTTCTACTTGTGTGGTGTCGAGATGTTAGTGGATAGTTTTGTAGTGCCACATGTCGTGATATCATTAGAGAACCAAATCACCCCTCATCAATTGCTCCCCACTCTCAAGTCCGGCGTAATCAATTCGATGAGGGAGTAGTATTAATCACAAGGTGATTTGGCTTGAGTTTTGGTTTCGACCGCAGTCTAGCCAATGGCTTAGGATTGGTTCGGCTCGGCCATGAGGTAGCGTTTCAGGTACACGCAGACACCACACAGTCGTTAAGTACCACGGACGCCAAAAACACACTAAACTAAATTCGCCTCAGAATACGAACTGTCGTGTCTTTGCAAACCGTTAGATCTAACCGATCTCAACCATCCATAGCTCGGTTCGCCGTTCTATAAATAGGACCCTTGGGGGCCTATTTCCTTCATCCCTGAGTTTGAAGTTCTAGTGCATTCTGAGGTCAAGGAGCTTGACATTGTCGAAGTAGTTGGTGTAATTTCTGTAAGGTAGTTCTCTGGTGTTAAGTTCGAGGAAGAGAGGGGTCCTCGATCCAAGAGTAGCGAGGTTCCCATAAGAGGGCTTCATCCTCTCGTCAACCACCTAAGAGTAAGTCCAAGTTCGGCCCCACCGAACTAACTGTTGAGGATGTTTACAAGCTAGTGGCCCAATATAGGATCCTGAACTAGTTCAGCTAACTATTGAGTGAACGGGTGTAGATAAGGGTGTAGGTCTTACTGGACAAGAGGTTGCAACTAAGTGAATTCTTGGCCGAAGAGAAGCTAATTCAGGCTGGGCTGAGCCCTCTAGGTAAGTTGTCGTTCCAGGCTCGGGTACATTTCTTTCCATCTTTTGATTTGACTTATCTTCTAACTTCTCAAGCAAGAAATATGTCGGGCGTGCCAACTTCTGGGTTGTTCTAGGTTATGAAGAGGAAAAAGAGGAAGGTGACACCCTGAGAGGCTCCTCAGGTCGTTGCTCCCGAGCCTACTGAACGGAGTGCAGTCAAAGCCGTGCCGATGATAGACCTCGTTAAGAAAGACTTTCGAGGAGACCCCTCCACCCACTCGAGGCTGAGGCAACCACCGCTTCGAATGCCGAGGCCGTTACCAAGGAGAAGCACACCATCATGGACTTCCGGACTGCCCTAGTAAAAAGCAAGGAGGTCATCTTTCTAGAGAAGGTCATAGAGCTCTATGAATTACATCCCGATGAGCTCAGCGGGAAGCTCATGCGTTGCCTTATTATGGTATGTTCCCGATCTTCCCCATTGTATTCGTCATGATTCTTGGTTTGCATTCATTTATCTTTCTTCTCTTTCTTTGTTTTTTTGTAAGCGAACACCTTGACACACTCCCTATTGGGGCAGGTTGAGGGAAGTCTGGCGAGGGCCCGATCTTTAGGGGAGGAGGCTACAAAGTGAAGGTCTTGCCTTGAATGAGCTTGCCAACTTGTTAGCGACCTGAAGGCTGAGCTGGCATAGGAAGGGAGCCACTGTGGGGACCAGATGAGGAGGACCAAGAAACTGATCGAGGAGCTGGAGCTTAAGTGCCGAGAGTGGTAGGAAAAGGAAGCCGAACATGTAGAGCAACACTCAAAGTTTCTCGACAATGTCCATGCTACCGAGGTCATCACCGTTAAGGAGTTCAAGACCTCACCAAACTTCCTAAATGAGAGAGGAGTTCGGGTCCGGTGCCATTCGTCAGGGATTCAAGTTGTACAGGATGCTAGTGGCCTCAGTGTACCCTGATGTCGATCTGGAGAAGTTAAAGACCTCGGTGTGCACCAACAAGATAATGGGTCGGGATGACCAGGAACCTAACTACGAGGAGGAAGACGAGGTCATGCACATCGAGGGAGACACGGACGGCGAAGCTGGTACCGATGTTGATGGTGGAGACGCTATGAGCATCGAGGAGCCCTAGAATGTCTGACTTTCTTGCCTCTTTTCTTGCACCCCCATGTACATATTGTATGTCGAGCATTCGAGTTCGGCTATCTTAGAAAAGTCACTTTTTCTTTTTCTTTTTCTTTTTTTTTTGAGTAGCCATGTACTTCCCCCTTTTCTAATGAAGAGATCAATTCCTTCTGTATATGTTGTGCCTCCCTTTGCGCCCTTTGTTGAAAAAATAGGCTAAGTGTAGGGTATGAATCGAAGTGGCGAGGTGCCCAAAGTGACTAGGCTTACAATTCTGTTTAGGTACCCAAAGCGACTAGGCTTATAATTCCAGCTAAGTCAAGATGTTGCCAAACTACCAACATCTTCCGAAGTTGGCCTAGGGGGCCTTAGAGTTGAAAGCGATTTGGCTTCCCCTTATTCGCTTTGCTGAATCACCTATAATATAGGTCAACTTGACCATGTCATCGTAGTGGGGTGGTCTATATTTGGTGAATCTTGACATTGTGGATGCAGCTTGGAACACCAAAGTCCTCATAGGTAGTATCTCCTTAGGCTATCAATGTTCCATGCACAGGGTACCTGCCTCCCCTCCACAAAGAACACTAGGCAGCTCATCCACCCATAAACCCTTAGCTCGGGAGAGCCGAGCTTTCACTCTATGAAAGATTGCCCTGTTCGTCACTTCAGCCTGACCGTTCGCCTAGGGGTGGGCCACCGAGGTGAACTTCTACTAGATTCCCATCTCGGCACACCAATTCTGAAACTTAATGTCTTTGAACTACTTCTCATTGTCTGATATCAACACCCTAGGGAGTTCAAATCTGCAAATGATGTTCCTCTGGAAAAAGTTTTGTATGTTCCGAGCTGTGATTGATACTAGTGGCTCAGCTTCCACCTACTTCGTAAAGTAATCCACCACGACCGCCAAGGGCCTCCTTTGCCTGGTTGCAAGTGGGAAGGGATTGAGGATATCTATCCTCTAGTGTGCAAACGACCATAGGCTGGTAAGGTACCTTAGGTCAGTGGTGGGCTGGTGTGGTGTGTTAGCGTGTCGCTGACACTTATCTCACTTCCAGACGAGCTCTAAGCGTCCGCCTACAAAAAAGACCAATAATAGCCTTGCCTTAGGGTTTTTTGGGCCAATGCCTTCCGCATAGACCTTTGTGGATCTCACGTAATATTTGGTTTGCTTTTGTTGGACACAAGCAGTATAGGCAGGGGAGTGTGAACGACTTGCGATATAGCTGCTCACCAATGATGACATAGCGAGCTAATTGCCGCTCTACCCTCCGAGTTGCGTTGCATTCTGTTGGTAGGGTCTCGTGGCATAGATAGTCAATTAGCAGGTCTATCTAGCTTGGCTCCACGACCAAGACAAGGGAAACCTCCTTGGCCACCCTTTCTATGCTAGGTCATGGCAGGTCTTCAATGTAGACTGTCCTCCTTGTAATATCCATCACACCAGCCAGCTTTGAGAGTGTGTCAGCCTCAGTGTTCTCAAACCTCAAAACTTGTGGAAATCGGGTAGGAGCTCTCTAACCTTGGCTAGGTAGGCAAACATGGCGGGTTCCCATGCCTCATACTGCCCATTTACTTGGTTCACAACTTGTTGTGAACCGCTGTGGACGATGAGATGTTTTGCGTTGACCTCTTTTGCTAGTGACAACCTGACTATCAGCGCCTCGTACTCAACTTCATTATTCAATGCTCGGAATTTAAATCGGAGGGCATACTCCAATTTGACCTCGCTAGGTCCGTAGAGAATCAGTTCAACACTACTTCCTCTCTCGTTGGACGCATAGTCCACATGGAGGATCCAGGGCTCTTCGTCCTAGGTTTGGAAGAGTGCCACACTAGTTGAAGCCTCAGAGGCGTTTATGGGCTTGTCCCCAAGGGTTAGCATGCAGAACATGCACTCGATGATGAAGTCATCCAGGACTTGGGCCTTTATTGCAGGACACAACTCAAACCGAATGTCGTATTCACTAAGTTCAATATCCCACTTCGTCAGCCTCCCTAACACCTCAGGCTTTTGCAAAACTTTCTTCAAGGGCCTATCGGGGAGGACAACGATAGTGTGCGCCTAGAAGTATGTGCACAACTTGCAAGCTACTAGCATCAACGAGAAGGACAACTTCTCAATGTTAGAGTACATGGTCTCGGCGGCATGCTTGACGTTGCTTACATAGTAGACAAGTCATTGCACTCTGTCCACCTCTCTAA